AGACAGAGTGGGGAGCAGAACAGGCAGATCTACTGGAATACACTGCTGAGGGGAGCAGCAGGCGAGACAGAAGAGGTCTGCTGCATTTGGTGGGTGGGTCAGCTCCCTGGCCAGGCATGGAACTCATGCCACAATGGCTGGTGATAGCTTGATAGCACTGAGACTTTAACCCCTGCACCACCAGGGAGGCCCTCAAGTTTATCTTTTAACAAGTTGTAATAAATTGATAATCTAGGTAATTATTTTTTCCTGAGTTCTGTGAACTGTTGTTGCATGTTAATGAAATCTGAGGAGGGGGTCATGGGAACCTGATTTTATAGCCGGTCAGAAGCACAGGTGACTACCTGGACTTGTGGCTGGTGTCTGACTGCGGGTCAGGGGGCCACTGTGGGTCTGTGGGACTGAGTCTCTATCCTGTAGAATCTGATCTTCTCTCCAGATATGTTACAGTGTGATCGCCACAAAACGGGGAGGTTCCAAGTTCTCTGGCCCCGCTAATGAAGGGTGGAGCTGCAGGGGAGAAGCTGAAGACTTGGAAGAGGGGACTGTGGGAGGAGACACTCGGTTTTGGACTCACCCCAGGGACTTGGGAGACATGGAGGGAGACACACAGAGTTGAGACAGGTAAAGACACCTTGGAAGAGAGGTGGGTGGGAGACCCATGGGGAGGCAGGCAATGGCAATCTCTAACTTAATTAGTACTTTGATTTTGTTCTTTTTGACCCAGACTTACCTGGCCCCTTCTGTCCTTTTCCTATGGGTCCCCACCAGAAGGTGCCTTAGACTTGTGGCAAGCTTTTGGGCCCCAGAGGCCCTACTTTGGGCCAATCCTGTTTGGACATTTATCCACAAGGGGATGGGTAGCTTTGGATATTTTATTGGAAAACTATTATCCTTTCTTCTCTCTCTATGCACATTATTCTATTGAAGTTCTTTCACAGTAGGAGTATGCTTTGTCTTTATGTGGTAGATGGCAGAACCTATTTAGAGAGTGCAAGTTTGGGGTACCCCTCAATCTGCACGCTAACAGATAGACATTGTTGGAATTGAGTTAAAAATACAGGACAGGGCCTCCCTGGTGGCACAGTGGGTTGAGCGCAGTGCCATGAAGATGTCCGCAGCCTCTGCAGTGCAGGTTCGATTCCCGGCCGGCCAGGGAGATACCCACATGGCGCGGTAGACCTCTCCTGTCTTGCCCGCTGCTCCCCTCAGTGGTGCTTTTGGTCCGTCTGCCTGTTCTACTCCCTGCTCTGTCTCTGGTGAATCTTCTCACCCTCCCACGCTTCTGGCCTATACCCCAGCTCTTGTATATATAAAATAAATCTTAAAAAAAACCCAAACACTACAGGACATTAAGCTGGTGTTGCAGAATTGCTTCATGTAGCAACTGCCCCCTTCCCTGCCACACACACATTTGGTGTCAGAGTAGTAGTCGTGCAGTGAAGAGATAGCAGACTGGAGTGTGCTTTTCTTTACAGGAAAAGAAGCAGCTGTGGGCCCTGCCTCTCCTGTCATCCCACAGGAGGTGAACCAGGGCAGTATGGCTGGGTTGCTCTATAGCATGCATTCAGAGGAAGGGCCTCCTGCCATTGCCCTGCTTTGTATGGTGCTGGCATGAGAGGGCAGCCTTACCAATGGAGGAACATCAGGCTTGGCACCATGTAGTCTGGATTTGGGGTGCCAATCCATTACATGATGCCTCAAGTCTATGGTTATCACTGTGCCTTCAGCTGACCAGGAAGGGGGCCATGGAATATTCAGAATATTCCATTCCTAAGGTAAGTTGAGCTTGAGTGTGACCCAGCTCATCAGGAGAAGGAAGGGTCCACTCCTAGCTAGCCCATTGTTCAGGCCACCCAGAATGACAGCCCAAGGTCAAATGAAGACATTCTTGTCCATTCTACTACACATCACAACCGGGGGCGGGGGGGGGGTTCCCCACCCCCTCACCAGAATAGCACTTCACTTTTAGTCTTGGCACAGCGCATCTCCCACACTGCCTGGCAGTAGTGTTATTGAGGTTCCTGGAAATTTCATTCTTTTTTAGCAGACATGAGAACCACATCTCTAAGCCCAGACTGGTGCCTCTCTTGCATTCTGATTCACAACATCCACAATTCAGAGATGCTGGACATGCCATACACACCCTGCCTTTCTCTGGTGTATGTCACCAGAGAATTTACAGGAAAGTGTTCCCACCCTTAAGGAAGCCTCGCTGCAGGAAATGAGCTGGAGAACTTGCTCTTAGAAGGATCAGACGTCAGGTCAGAGAGGAGTCAGGTTGAATCCTGAGAAGGTTGGTGAGTCCAGCTTTCATGCAGCCAATCACATAAGTTTGTACCATGAGCCTTGCAAAGTAGGTTCCTGCATGATGCAATGGAGCAGGTAACTGTGAACATGCTGTATTCTTGGCCAAAGCTGGAAAAAGTTGGGGCACTGGGCACCAGGAATGCTTCAAAGATTGCAAAAGAAGAATTGAAATGAGTAGAACAGAGAGGATACTGATTTGCATGTTATTTCAACAATGGATGCCCACTCAAATGTTACTGTCCAGATGCCATCCCCACAAACACACACTCACACCTTCACAGTCATCCATGTGGTGCCTGCCCTCATCCACTGCCAAATCTTGTAAGCCTGGTAAAGGGAGACGCTCTGGCTTTAATCCCTTCAGCTATTAAGTGATTTTTCTCAGAAAAATCTAGCTTCTGTCCAGATTAGTCCATCACTTGATCTTGTCTTGGGAGGCTGTTCCTGTCTCAGGTCATTCAAACGGTTTGCCAGGGAACTGCTTCTGGTCATGTGCTCACTAGGCCAGACTACTGTTTTTTATTCTGTCAGCTGGTGGGCCAAATCCCCACTCCCCCATCGTTTATATTTTATAGTCCATAATCTGGTGTTCACTTTTCAAAACACGTCCAGCAATTGGTGAACATGCCCCAGGAGGAGGCTTTTGGTGTTTTCTGGTCTCTGACCTTCTGACACCTCCAACAATCTTTGGTAACACCACTGCTCCCTCCCTCCCCTCCTTCCCTTTCCCTCCCACCCCCGCTTCCCTCTCCGCCCCCTCACGAAATCATGGACATCTGTTCTGCTTAGATTAAACTACACTTATATTTTACAAGTGTCTTTGATCAGGGGATTTTACATCTGAAGTGTGCACCGCAGGAGCAGAATATGGTGTTTCCTTTAAGTAATTAAGTAATGAATTGACTTTAATTTATTTTAATGTTATTCAGATGGTTGGGTCATAAAAACTAGTTCAAACGATTGAGTGGTTTGGGCAAAGGAAGGATTTTCTCTAATTAAATGGTTTGGAGCGAGTGAGGGAGGTAAAACAAACTCCCGAGAGTCAACTGCAGGGAGTCCGGGTTCCAGGCAGGGCAGGTGTTCAGACCCGCCGGGCTCTGGGCGCGGGAGACCCCGGGCCACCCCCTCCCCAGGCGGGGCCTCCGCAGCCCGGGGCGCACGCCCCGAGGAATCCGCACCTCTGGGTGGAAAACGGAGTTACCATTTCAGAACTACAGATTTTGAGGAACTTTTGAGAACTTAACTTCCTCAATAAATGAAGAATCCATTTCCACCTCCACCCGCGGGTCCCCGGGGGTCCCTCCCGACTCGGGTGACTCCCGGTGCGCTAAGATTTCGGTTTTGTGAACTCCACCGTGACCGCACAGTGGGTGGGGTCGAGGGCAGAGGGGACATGTTCACAGCTTTCTGGGACTCCACAAGCCTTTCAGGACAGGGTGCCAACTCCTCTCTCAGAGGGGCAGAGACGGCCACCGCTTCTGGCACTGCCCAGTCGCTTTCTTCCAGCTACGCGCCGTCTGCTCTTCCATGGGCTCACGAGTCCTCCCGCTCCGGCGGGCATGGAGGGGGCGGGGCGCCCGAGGGCCCCGCCCACTAGCGGGCACGCTGCGTGCGCTATGCGGCGGCAGCCATCTTAGACTCGGGCAGCCCGTCCACCTCCCGCTCCGGAGGGGCGGCGCGCCCCGTGCGCGCGGGGCTGGAGAGGCGATTCAGCTTCCTGCACCCCAACCCCTTGGTGGGCTTGTGCTCACTACACCAACGACCCTGTCCCCACCTCTCCCCTCTTCATGTGAAACCTCGAGCAGGCAGCTTGGTGGCAAGTACCAGCTCCCCGTCCTTTCTTACCTGGTGATCCTAGACCGGTACATCAGTATCCTTATCTGTAAAGCGAGAGTTTAAGGCCCCGCCCCCCACCCCTACCGTCAGGTCACCCACTATAATAGTGCTGATTGCACATGGATGATTAACTCAGTTTGAAGTCCGGTACATAGTCGTGTGTTCCATAAATGTGGTGTATGAGCTTTTCCTGCAGGAGATTGCGGGGTGCCTTGCAGCCACCACCCTTCCAGCCGCGCTAGGCGTGGGGGAGGGGAGCCCGCTCCAAGGTTGTATCTGTACACCGCCTCTTTGAAGACCAACTCCCAGGGCCAAGGGACCTGGCAAGCCCGCCAAGCCGGAGTGCTTGAGGACTTGCATGTAACCATTTTGGAAGGGTGTCAGAAACAGACCAGGGTGCCTAGGACTGCAAAGACTGTAGATTTTGGAACATTTAAACGCCCCCATGCTTGTTATTTTTATCACCCCTGGCTGTGTCCCCATAGGGACTCCCAGGCAGCACAAAACTCTTAGAATGAAAAGCCCGCCTGTGCTAGCTGTAGGGGCAGCGGGAAGAGGGAGCTGGGACTTTGTGTTCCAAGCAGAGTCAATGTGGGGGAGGACTTTTTGGGCCACAGTGGGTGGTGGCCTCAGGACGTGGGAGGAATTTAGGCCAAGTCTGAGGTGGCCTGTGGGGGTCCTTGGACATGCGCAGCAACTCCACCAACTCTGCAGCTAGAGCCCAACATTTGGGGTTCCCCAATTTTCTAAGGGGGTAGAAAACTTGCTCAGAACTAGAAAAAGGGCAAGTGCCTGGAGTAGGGGCTAGAGAGAGGTGGAGAGAGGCCAAGGCCTGTTAGGGACTACAGATCCCCCACCCAGCCCTCTATAGGATCCAGAGGCATTCTGAGGAAGAGGAAGCAGAGGGTGCAAAAATTACTGAGCAGCTGTGGGGGAATTGCAGTTTATTTTCAAATACACTCAGAGGGTGGGGGGTGGTCAGCAGGTTCCATCTGCATCCCCTCCCTGCATTTGGCTTAATCAAGAACTTCTCTCCTGTTATCTCCAAGCCCCTAGGCTGTGCAAGATAGACAAGGCACTCCCACCCTACACACAGGGGGGTGGTTTCGGCAGGTATGGAGGGTGGAGGGATTGGAGAGTAGAGTTCAAGTATTCAGTTCTCCCATCCACACCCCCAGATTACACTGTGCCCAGGCCCTCGAGGGAGGATCCCAACCCTGGGGTTCCTAGTGGGAACTCTTTCTGGGAACCCTCAAGGTGAGCACCCTCTCCCTTTCCCTGACAATAACCAACCACAGTCTGAAACCCTATATTCTGGACAAGGAGGAGGACCCAGCACTACCCTCAGCCAAGGCCTTGCCCTTCCTATTATGGAGTGATGAAGGGCAGGTGAATGGGTTGGAGCAAGTGGTAACGTGAGGGGAAAGGAGAGAACCGAGGCCCTTAGGAGGCAGGCTCAGATGAATTCAGACAGCTCTGGCCTGTACCCTCACCCCACACTCCAGGCCCAGAATCCCTGAGTCCAACTGCCAAGGAAATATGGGGCAGGGGAATTGAAGCAGAGGGACATGATGCTTAGCAGGGCCAGGACTGAGCATCAGGCCAACTCAAATTCTGAACTTCCAGAGCAGTTAAATCCCGAGGAACATAGGGAGGCAAACAATCCCCATGCCCCAGATATCTTGGCCTTGGGCACGTGGTGAGAACGCAGGGATCCTCCCAAGGGTATTATAAAAAGCTAAAATAAACCATTAAAAACTCCTTGGGGTGAGAAGTGGTTCCCAGCCTTACTCCCCCCAAGTTGTCATCCTCCCCAAAGCCCAGAAAACAGGGCTGAGGGGGGGTCTCACAGAACTGAGTGGAAGCTACAACCCCTCTCTGATAGGATGAGGCCCAGGGAGGGGGTCCATTTAGCACCATGCAATTTTGGGGCACCCTGCAGACTGACTGACCCTGGACAAGGGGCCTCCAGAGCTTGAGTGCCCAACGTACTAAAGCTTCTGTACTCATGAGGAGGAGCCCCTGTAGGGGAGGTTAGGGGAGAAGGCTTGACTGAAGTCCAGGCAGGGGTCTTAGCTGGGACCCCAAAGGGCTCCTCTGGGGGGTCATGACTTGAAGAATCTTCGTACCACAAACTGGCCCAACAGAACCACAGCCAGAACTATCAGCACATTCCGGATGGGGCCGTTGCCCAAGTCCAGGGCTGCCACCTGTCAGGAGAGACAGAAGGCTCATGGAGGGGCAGGCGGCACTTACGGGCACCCCAGGACCAGGGTGGGACTGGGAGAGGGGCCTCTACAGCAGCCGTGAGCAGGTTGCTAGTGCACTCACCCAGCCGCCCCTCTGTGCGATCCAGCGGGCAATGCAGTTACGCAGCATAAATTCAGCCACGAAGCGGGTCACCTGGCCCAGGAAGCCCGTCAGGCCGCGCTGGTAGACGTGCAGGGCCAGGCGGTAGCCGAAGCCCAGGAGAGCCACCACTCGGCCCCAGTTGATGCCGCTTTCAAACAGGCTGCAGGCAGAATGTCAGACATGGTCAGTACATACCTCCTAGGGGGCCCTTCAGCCTGCTTTCCCTCTGTCATACCCAGGTTCCCCCCACCTGTCTCCCAGCTGGAAAACAAAATGGCTTAGCTGTGAATCAGGGCAGCAGAGGCCCCAGGCTGGCCTCCGTTTGGGAAGAGCCTGTGTCCTGTGAAAGGAGAGAGCTCAGAGGGTGTATGAACGAGCTACTGCTGGGGTGCTGTGCCAGTGCCACGGGGACAACAGGGCATATGGACAGGGTGGAGGGCAGAGCGAGGAGAGAGGCAGCAGGGAGATTACCTGTGGGTGTTGCTGCTGGCCTGGCAGCCCGAGGGACAGCAGAGAGAAAAGGACAGAAGAGGAGGTGTTAAGACGGGTCCTGGAATCCCAGTGGGGTTACCTCTAGGGACACGGCAGGGCATTTTAGCTCTAAGCACTATTTCTCAATCTATTACCTACTCCTGTGTTCACCCGCAGATACAAATCCACTGAGAGCAGCCCTCTTGCCTCCGATCGTGCTAACAACAGGTAACACCTTGTAACGTGGACACCGTGCCAAGCCTATTTCCCTTGTTTTATGGACAAGGAGATGGAAGGCTAGAAAGTCCATAAAACCAGTAAGTGACAAAGCTGAGGTCTGGCCCAAGTATTAGTCTCTACCACACTCAATGCCTCTTGGATCCAGATTTTAGCATCATTTCCAGAAGCCATTTCCAGAACCTGGTAGAGGTTAGTGACCTTACCATTTTTGGTGTGCCGTGTGGTTCTAAATTGGAAGGAGGGCCTCCCTGGTGGCACAAGGGGTTAAGCACCGCACTATGAAGCAATTCACAGCCTCTGCAGCACGAGTTCGATCCCCGGCCAACCAGGGAACAACCCACATGGTGCAGCGGACCTCTCCTGTCTCACCCGCTGCTCCCCTCAGCAGCGTATTTCAGTTCTTCTGCCTGTTCTGTTGCCCACTCTGTCTCTGGTGAATCCTCTCACCCCCCGCATCTCTGGCCTGTTCCCAACTCTCATATGCATAAATAAATAAATCTTAAAAAAAAAAAAAAAGAAATTGGAAGGACAGCTATGAGCTATCTGGGGCTGGACTGGGGCGCTCTGGGGATACCCCCATCCTGGGCCTTCTATATTCTGGCCTAATGGCCAAGCCCTACCTGCCAAAACTCAAACGCTGTGAGCTGATACACGAAAGATGAGGAGTCTGGCACTCAGAGACAGAGACAGGGGCCCGAGGCCACAGGTGAGGTAGCAACAAACACGGGGTCTCCTCAAGCTGACAGAAGCAGGTGTCTCCCACCCCATGGGCAAGGCAGTGTGTGGTGGCGACAGCACAGCAGAGAGGCCGTGGTCCGCGTTACCTTTTAGCGATCTTGGTGAAATACTCATAGGCATTTTCTGCCGTAGGCTGCAGCTGATCCAACATGATCTGGAACTCCGAGTCATAGCGCCGGTTGATGTCATCCCCTATGAGGGCCAGCTGCCGACCCACCTGCCCCATGGTGCTGGAGCAATAGGAGACAGGTCAGTGAGCAGGGTGTGGGGCACACAGCAAAGGGGGTTCACCTGAGACACCCCCAGTGGCCTGTGTGCCACTTGACAGTGTTCTCAGATACAAAGGCTGGGTCCAGGACAAGGGATATGTAGAGCCTCCCTGGTGGTGCAAGGGGTTATGCACCACACTGTGAAGTAATCCGCAACCACTGCAGCACGAGTTCGATCCCCAGCCGGCCAGGGAGCAACCCACATGGCGCAGCAGACCTCTCCTGTCTCGCCTGCTGCTCCCCTCAGCAGTGCACTTTGGTCAATCTGCCTGTTCTGTTCCCCACTCTGTCTCTGGTGGATCCTCTCACCCCCTGCATCTCTGGCTTGTACCCCAGCTCTTGTATGCATAAATAAATCTTAAAAAAAAAAAGGGGGGACATGTATGTGTTAAAATGGGTACAAGGTCTGGCATGGGGTGGGAACCCAAGATGAGAAAGAGACAACAGTGGGAAAAAGACAAGACCCTCTGCCCCCAGGCCTTCCAGCTGCCAGTACCGGGTGCAAGCCTCCCCCCCTCCCCCCCCCGCCCAAGATGTCCTTGTAGGAGGGCTATTGCTCACCTGCTAGGTTCTGGGGGCAAGGTGACCATCTCTGGGTCAGCAGGGGCCCCTGCCCCCTCAGCCTGTTCCTGCTGATGGCGGTAAAAAACGTAGCTGCGGAAAACCTCCTCCGTTTCCAGGGCTACCTGCTCCTCTGAGAATAAAGTCAGGAATCAGGGAGGAAGGGCTGGGGCCAGCAGCTTTGTGGATGGTTCACGAGGCCCTGCCCCTGCCACAGCTATCCTCACCCCTTAACTCTAGCGCTCAGTTAACACCAAGGGCTTGTTCTTTGCAGGGCATCTTGAGGCCCCTTTCCATAGAAGCCTCACAGTGCTCATGCTTGGCGAAGTCGGTGATTCCCTAGTTTACAGATGGGGAAACTGAGGCACAAAGTGTTTAAGTAATTTGTACACGATCATATCTAGAGCAGTGGAACCAGGAGATAATCCCAGGTACTTGGGATTATTTCCGGAGTTTGTTTTAGTGTGTACAAGGGACCCAGCCCTTAGGACTTAGCGACTGTGGGGGCCTGAAAAATCACACCCAGAAATAGTGATAGAAGTGGGACCTGACCCCAAAGTCCAGAGAACAGCTTTTAGTGGACTGTGAGCTTCAGGCTTCCCTGATGATCCCCTGGGAAGAGGGAATTAGGGCAGCCATCTTACTTCCTCCCCAACAATTGCTTTCCATGTTTAGCAGTCCTGACTCCGGGCTAAGCCAGCTTACTTCCTTGTTTCTCTGAGTGCAGGGATAAGCTAGCCACACCCCTTTTTTCTTTCCTCCTTCTCACCTCATCACCCCCCTGCTCTGGGATGGCACAGTGCCCACCTCACGTTCACGCCTTGGCCTCTGACTCTCCCCAGCCCAGGCTCCTCCCCACTCCCAGGACTTAACCTTGACCACATTCCAGCTTGTACTGGGTGGGGAGATACTGCTCTCCTTTATCCAAGGTAAATGAGAGAAACTGGGGCAAGAAGTCCTGCCTGGCCCTGCCTACTGCTGCCCTTTGCATCCTCACAGATGGCCCTGGTGGTTATGGGATGGGTGGGGGGGGGGGCAGAAAGACCCTTACCTGAAGTGGAGGATGGGTCAGGCTCTTTGCACCCCTGACTGGGAGGCCCTGGGCCTTGCCCGGATGCCATTTTTCAGGCCCCGGCAGAGGACAGTGTTAGCCTGCAGAGATGGGTGAGAAAAAGCAGAGATGGGGACAAAAGCTGAGATAGTAGAGAGGATCCCCTTCCCAGAAAGACCCCACAGTTCGGGCCTTCCCCGGTGGCGCAGCAGTTGAGCGCTGGGTTGCGAAGCTTCCCGCAGCCTCTGCAGCGCTGGTTCGATCCTCTCCTGCCGTACCCACTGCTCCCCTCAGCAGTGTACTTTGGTCCTTCTGCCTGTTCTGCTCCCCGCTCTGGCTCTGGTGAATTCTCTCACCCTCCCGCGCTTCTGACTGTACCCAGTGCATGTATAAATAAACTAATAAATCTTTAAAAAAAAAAAAAAGAAAAGAAAAAGACCCCACAGTCCTAGCTCCAACCACTCTTATTTCTCTGTCGTGATGCCTGTGGAGTCTGCTGGTGGAACTCGAACTTCAAGGAGACTGGTAGAGAAAGGCACAGCCAGGCCTGCATGTCCCCTAGGCGGGGAGCCGCAGCAGTGCCCCTTGTCATTCAATCAAGTCACATCTCATCTTACTCGTGGCTGAGGGAGGCTAGTTTCAGAGGTGGGGCCACTTTCAGTTGCTCCTGGAGCCTCCTGCACCCTACCCGTCACCCACTGCTGCAATCTTGTCACGGTCCAGTCAGAGACCCGTGAAGGCCACCCTCGAAGGTCCCACTTCCCCTTGGCTGGTCAGAACACACCTGTTTTCCAACTCAGGCCTGTGAGCTGCCAACGCTACCCCGACAGACCTCCCCCCGGGGGGTTGGGCAACAAAATGCACATGAACCCAGCTAGGAAACCTCATCCCCATTTTACAGGTGGGAAAAGGGAGGCACAGAGAGGTCCCAGTGGAGGCCACATGGCTGGTCAGGGAGCCAGTGGCTTATCTGAATGCATCCACACATTTAATTTTCACATTAGATTTACTTTCCTGGACCACGGAGGGTATTTTCTCCAGGAAACCTCCCCCACCTGCATGCTTCCCATTCCTGCCTTGCAGTGAACTGGAGCTGCCTTCCCTGCAGCCCTCCAACCTGCCTCCCATTCTTCCCGCCTCTGCACAGGCCTCCCCTGTCCCCAAGCACAGCCTCGCTGCCTGCCGGCCCTGGCCACAGCCCACATCTGCTCTGTGAATCCTCAACAGAGGGAGTATTTCCTGGACATAGCTGTGGTTTCACTTTCAATTTGCACCCCTTCATTTCCCTTCTACCCCAAGGCTGCCTCCATCACCCAGGCAGGGTACCCTCCGATCCCCAGCTCAGCCCTGCCCCAAGTCAAGCCCACCGCTCCCTCCTCCCTGGGAGAGGTTGGTGTACCCACCCCGGCCCATCTCTCCCTCTCAGGCCTGGGGCCACTTTCAAAAAGGCCCCCAGAGCTCTCCCAAAAGGGGTGGGGGAAGGCTGGACTGCCTGTGCACTCAGCTCTCCACTCTCAGGCATGGGCAGACCTTCCCCTCCTCCACCCCAGGGCGCCTGGGACATTATTAACACAGACCTTTGCTTGGCACAACCCTATCCCGGTAGTTCTTTCCCGCTTTCCCGTTCCCTGAAACCTGGCACCCCAAAACAGCAGGGCCAGAGGATGCTGACTACACCTCCAACTCCCTCTGCCACTACCCCAGGGCCTCAGTATGGGGCAGCGGGTGGGTCCTCAGTGTGGACCCCCGGATTAGAGGCTGGTGCCAACCTGGGCATACCCCTTCCCCATCCAAGTGGCCTGACTTCCTGGTAAGGGGAGTCCATTGTACCCAACCTGTGGGGCTTGCCGGGCCCAGGATGTTCCCCAGGGGGAGATGCTTGGCTGAGCTGCAGACTCAGTCTAGGGTCCCTGGGGCAGCAGGAAGCATAGTGAAAGTTCTCCCCCTGCCCTTGACCTTGGTTCTGACCTCCTTTCCCATCCCCCAGATTGCCGAAGGACCTGGTTCTTTGGCACCGATTCTCTGGCACCCGGGGCAAGAGCAAGAGAGGAATCTGTGGGGAGCAGTCCAAGGAGCAGGCCCCAGCCCCGGTTGGTGGGGCTGCCCAGGCAGGGCTGGAGGCCTCTTCCTCCCCACCCGGCCCCCTGCGGGCTCCCTGTCCCACCCTAGGCCCAGGGCTGCCAAGATCAGGGAGGATGGGCAGGACCCTCCCAGCTTACCTGCCCGGACCCAGGCCCAAGCCCGGGATGGCTCAGCAGGGCTGAGGCCGGAGGTCCTGAGGGACCAGCAGCTGCTCCCAGGGGGGGCTGCTTCCAGGAATGGGCGTCAGCGAATGCCCGCTGTCCGGGTGCAGCCTCTTAGGGCGGCCCTGGGGGCCCGCAAGTCAGCTGCGATCATAGAGGTGCCGGCTCCTCCCGGCTCCAATCAGCTCCCTCTAGAGGAAGTTGCTCTGCGGCTGCCGGATGCGGATGCGCGCTACTCCGGCCTGCAGCCTGGGGGCCGGTCTGGGTGGGGGTGGGACCCAGGGCCCTCGCCAGCCGGATGGCTCCCCACCCCCACGGCTTTCCCACTGTGATTCCCAGTCTATCTCCTGGAACTTTCCCCCCTGCCGGCAGTCAATACCAATAAAACAGTCAGCACAGTGACTGCTGTGGGCCACTCACTTTAGCAGCCAGATCTCATAGGATCTTCACAACCTCCTTGGAAGTGGGTGCTGTTCACACCCATTCTACAGATGAGCAAACTGAGGCTCAGATGGTTTAAAGAACTCTCCCAAAGTCACCGAGTTGGGTTTATAATTAAGCCTGTACGTGCCATGGGGGAATAACTATGCGGAATTGTGCTGTAACACAATTAGGACGGTGCGCCCCAGTGGTCTCTGGAGACAATTAGGAGGTGCCAGCAGGGAGACAGAGACCGTGTCTGTGCTGCTCCCTCCGGGCTGCAGGCTGGAAACTGAGAGGGGAGAGGAGAGGGAGGGCAGACACTGTCTGACCCTGGGGAATGGCTCTCCAGTCAGCCACAGCCAGGGAGGCCCCAGCCAGATGGAGAGATGTGTGTGCAGAGTCCCCAGCAGCCTCGGCCCAATTCAGGGGTCTAGTCCCCCAGCCTCCTCGGCCTGCCCCTCACTCCCATGCCTCCAACCTGGCTCCCAGGTCTCCTTCCCTTATTTCATCAACCCCCTGCCCTCTCTGTCCTCAGCTAAAACCCCCAGGCCCTCCTTCTCCACAACCCCCCCCCCCCCACTTCCTGATCTTTGCCTTCTAGAACTCCTGGGAGTTTCCAACTGGAGGTTTTAATTTGAAAACTCCTCCTGTTCTTAAGCCGTTGGTCCTGGGGTGTCTGCTTCAGCCCCTCCCTCCGGGTCAGGTCCCTGCCAGGATGGAGGCCCCAGCTCCAACTCCTCCTTCCCGAAGTTTGGCCCACTCCTCCATGTTCCGCTTTTTCCGTAGCCTGTTGGGGAGCAAGGGCAGTCCAAAGAGCTCTGACAAGCTCTTGGGGGGTCAGGAGTGCCCTTCACAAGAGCAGGACGCCGTCTCCCTGATAGCAGATCCCCAGGGACAAGGCCAGAGGAAGGAGCCCTGGCTGTCCAGCCTCTCTGTGGCCCTGCCGCGGCGCCGGCCCCCCACGCCCATGAAGGTCCTGAGGGTCCCGGCCCAGGGCGTAGAGGTGAAGTCAGTCTTGCCGGGAGAGAGCCAACAGGTGTTGGGCAACCTGTCTGAGGAGGAGCGGGAAGAGGCGGAGAAAGAGGGAAGAAAAGAGGAGGAGCAGGATGGAGAGAGAGACGAGGATGAGGAGACAGCGGGGGAGGTCTCTGGGGATGTGGGGGCTCCAGACAGGTGAGGAGCTGGGCTCTGGGTGCTGGTGGGTACCCAGCTGGGGAGGACACCTGGGATGGAGGCGTGAGTGGGGTGGAAAATGGTGGAAGGACATGGGCCTGGGATGGGAGGGCCCCGGTTCAGAGGAATGTGAGCTCTGGGTGGGTGGAGGATGAAGGGGTACCTGGCTGGGGAAGGATGGGTGTGGGAGGGTGGGGAGGAGCCTGGAGATAGGGCTGTGGTGGACGAGGCAGGGAGGGGGTCTTCCTGTAGGGGGAGTAGCTGTGGATGGAGGCAACAAAATGAAGTGGGGATAGGTGGGGCCTTGAAGGGGGTGTGCCAGGATGAGTGGGGGCTCCCATTGCTCCCAGGTCCTTTTTGGCTCCACTCTTCCCTGCTCCCCTCCTGCTCTCTCCCCCTAGGTTCCCCACCCTCAGGTGGGCCTGTGAGAAGAATGCCCCCACCTCCCTCAGCTCCCACCGCCTCCTCTCCCTGCCTTCAGGGAGGGATTGGCCTCCTCTGTGAAGACTCTAGATAGCAGAGCAGGGAGCTCTTGGGGGCAGGAGGATGGGGGTGCCGAGCAGGGACTGTGGCAGAGCCTTGGGGGAGGAGGGGGTTGGGGAAAGTAGGAGGCCTTTACCAGATCTCTGGGTCCCCCCTGACTCCCCCACCTGACTATGGTTTGGGATCAGGGTCCACTTGACCCAAGCCCAGGAAGTAAAGCGAGGATGCCTGGAGGGAGCCATGGGACCGTGGGAGCACAGCCCTGAGGCCTTCACTGCTGAAGAAGAGGAGGAGCATCTGCTTGAAGGTGTGTGTGGCAGCCACAGGAGTGGGGGTGCAAGAATAGACCCCCTTCTTCCAGTACTCCAGGGGTGTGGGGCCTACAAGGGCAAGGATGGTCTGAGGGAATGCTGGAGGTTAACTGCCTGGGTTCAAATCCCAGCTCCACTGGGATAAAATGGAAATGTAATAGGACCTACCTCAGAGGAAGGCTGGAGGATTTCAATGAGATGTTCTTTGTAAAATGCCTAGAATGGTGGCTGGCACATAGTAGGTGTTTGCTAAAGAAAACGAGGCGGCTTCATCCTCAGCTCAGCTCTCTTGATATCTCTGTCCCGCTGGGCCTGGGCCGCACCCCCACCCCCTTGCTGTCAGACCTTCAGTGACCACTGTTCCTTCACAGGAGACTTCAGGCTGGCCTCGTTGGACATGGAGACCACTCCCTGGAGATGCCTGCTCACCTTGTACAAGCAGCTTCAGAAATCGACCATGGCCAAGGTCTGTGAGACCAGACTGGGGGAGCTGGGGGCTTAATCTCGGTGCCCACCCCCTCCTCCCACCTGACTAGGTCTTAGGACATGTGTCTCAGACTCAGGGGAGCAGCAACCTTTCTTAACCTTTTAGGAGCTGTTCCCCCCTGCTTTCTGGTTGTATCTGGGGGTGGAGGTGGGGCTGCAGGCTTGGGACTCTGGCCTTCACCTGCTCAGAGACCTGCTGGCCTTCAGTTTCCCTTCGAGGAAAGCCTGCCCCAAGAGGAGGAAGGGGAAGAAGAGGAAATGGAGGAAGATGACAGCTCACTCAAGCTCTGCGCCCCCGACACTGACTCTGTGCCCCAGTCACCACTGTGCACGACTTCTAGGTTGACAGATCCACTAGGTGAGTATGGTGCCCCCACCTCCCCTTCTACCTGCCCCCAGGCCCAGGGACCCCTCCTTGGCTGCTGGCTCGTGGGTGCAATACCAGTTCCTACCACCAGATGGTACCAGAAGATCTAAGATGTTCACCTCAGGGTAGGGGTTGGGGGTATCAGTGAACAGTGTGGGCTGGGTCTGGAGGCCTTGCATGCCCTCTCTCCTGTTTGGGAGGCAGTGAGGTGGGGGTTGTGACCCGAGCTGTAGCTCCTTGAGCACCACCCTTTCCCAGTTCAGAATTCTAACTCCTGCAGGGGCCTCTATCTCTGGTTTTCCTGGTGTGCACTGTTGTGACTACCCCTAGGGTCCCCCCTCCCAATGCCACTCTCTACCCCGTGCTACCCAGACACGGTGAACATGTGGCTCAGTGGTAATAACATAAAATAAGAAAATCATTGTTGGCATTTACATAGCCACTACTATGGACCAGACCCTCGTCTAAGCAATGTTCATGAAATACCACATGACCACTCTGAAGTAGGTTCAATCTTAACTTCACAGTGAGGCAGTTGAGGCACAGAGAGGTTAAGTAACTTCTCCAAGGTCACCCAGCCAGTAAGTGGCAGAGCCAGGAGTTGAACCCAAGCACTTTGGGTGGTTCCAGGTCTGTGCTCTTGAGGGGTGTGTGTATGGGGGTGGGGGGGACAGGAGGGGGAAATATCTGCTCCAGTAGACTCTACCCAGGAGGTAGAGATACCCACACTCGTGCTTGCGGGAGAGAGCCCGTGGAAACTGTTTCCTGGGGAAGGTAGGTGGTGGGTCATGGTATCTGACTGGCTCCAGGTAATAGGTGAAGAAAAGTTTACGGCAGGGGGTGACTGGGACTGCAAAGGGCTGGGATTCCGAGCTGGAGCTGCCTCCTCTTCCTTTGGCCCTCAGCAGGTCACTCCTTCCTACTCCTTGCTTGCCCCACGCTCATCTCTCTGGTTCTGCAGGTTTCATGGAGTCGGAGTTAAAGAAGTTTCTGGTTGTACAGCGGGCGCCCCACCTTTGGAAGATGGGTGACCACAAAGACCAGGAGATGCTGACCCTGTCAGAGATGACCCAGGAGGAGGTGAGCATTGTGGAAGGTCAGGTGTGGCTGGCTGCAGGTGACCACCAGCCCCCTGCCTGAGGGCAGTGGAGGAAGCAGGGCCGGAGGCTCCCACCCCCATGGACCCCTGGCCCTGACTCCCACCCCTCCATGCCTGGGTAGGGAAGGCATAAGCCTTTCTTGGTGGTGATATTTCTGAGAGTAGGGCCCTGGCCCCCTACACATACACACACACACATACTTCTCCATCATCTCTCTGCTCTCACTTGACCCAGAGTCCACATGTCCATTTCTTTTTTTTTTAAGATTTATTTATTTATGCATACAAGAACTGGGGTGTAGGCCAGAGGTGCGGGGGGTGAGAGGATTCACCAGAGACAGAGTGGGGAGCAGAACAAGTGGATAGACTGAACTACACTGCTGAGGGGAGCAATGGGCAAGTCAGGAGAGGTCTGCTGCACCATGTGGGTAGCTCCCTGGCCGGGAATGGAACTCGTGCTGCAGTGGCTGCCGATAGCTTCATAGTGCTGAGACATGACCCCTTGCACCACCAGGGAGGCCCCACATGTCCATTTCTAAGTCTTAATGTTGCCTTTCTCTTGCCTTGGGCAAGTTCCTTTCCCTCTCTAGGCCTCCACTATCCATCTGTACAGTGAGGGGATTTGTCTGGGTGACCGTAAGGCTTTCCTGTGTAACTGTAATTCACATAATGTTGCTCTTTTTAAATATTCCTTTCCATTTGCATGGGCACCTGCTCTCACAAACACAGATAGGCAGGGGGAGTTACCCCACTGCTCCTAACAAGGACCCCCCAATGCCCACCCTACTTGATGTTGGCCTTAAAGGTCAGGCCTGTCCTAGGCTCTCTGAGCACACGTCGGTGGATCTGTTGTTGAAGAACGCATCAGTGCTCTCTTTGAGCCCATTTCCATGCGTTCATCACCGCCTTAGTCCTTCACTCACGGGACACTTGCCCCAACAGTCTGTAGTTTACAAAAGGAAAGCGTGTTGGGATTCGGAGACCAAAATCTTTAGTCAAAGTCCCTCTCTGGCATCAGCTTGCTCTGTGACCTTGACAGTAGGCCTCAGGCCTTGCCTACTTTACCTGTGAAAGGGGGCTTTGGGGATCGCACGAGAAGGGTGTATGACCGTAAACTGTGGAGGGCGCCCCAGTACTCGGGATGGCAGCCCACCTCTGGGGGTACTAAATATCTGAATGCCATGCTGCCCGGTGCGGAGGGGCGGCCTTTGTTGTCCTAGGCTCATGCCTATATCACAGGGAGCCTGCTGTGCCGGGGGAGCAGGCAGCCACCTCTCACGTTGTCAGGCCTGGTGGGCTCCCTTTTGGCTTTTCACCTATAGGGGCTTGTCCTCACATTCTCCCTTCCTATCCCCTGTCCTAGGGGACATAGCTCTTGGGTAACCTGAGCAACATTGGGGAGCCCTGCAGAGTTTCAGGAGATGGCAAATGACGGCTCAGACCTCACTTTGGGGACAGAGCTGCCTCAGGTGTATCTTCCTCCTGTGGGTGTTTCAAGGGTCCCCTCCTCCTCGCCATCCTCCACACTCTTCTTCTCTGCCCTCAGGGACACCGAGCTGAGGGGGATGGAAGCTGCCTCCCAGTCTTTGGGGAATGCTGGGGGCCTGAGGGAGAGGTGCTGATGCAGCCAGTACGCCACCCTCTGCTGGAAGGAAGATTGCAGAACCCTCTTAGTGTGGTGTCTGGGACAGAGGTGAGGAAATGGGGGTACCTGACTCCTGGGGCTTCCCAGGCACCCCCCCAAGTTGGGGGGAGAAGGCCCCCTCCATTTTATGAGGTGATTCAGGGTGGGTGGACCTGGGCCAGCTGTGGGGGTATGAGGAAGGTTTGGAAAAGGTGACCTCAGGGTTCCTGTCTTTTGGGGGGTAGGTGGGAGTGTTCTGGGGTATAGAGCAGGGAGGGAAGGGAGCCCAAAGCTGCTGTCTTCCTTACCACTTCTGCCCCCAGCACCTGCTCCTGGAGGAGATGGAAGAGCTGGGGAGCTGGGCTGCAGAGTGAAGCTGATACTGGTGGGAGTCTGCCAGCCACACGGGGAGCTCCTCCCCGCCTCGGGCACATCAGGGAGCGCTTGTGGCCAAGGGGTTTGGGGACAGTGTCCACACGTCTGCAGGGTGGGCCTGTCCAGTAGACTGTCCTCTCCCATCAGACTCGGATCTATCATATTATGAATAAAATCCTGTTTGACTTTGGTGTCTGTCTGTCTGTTTGTGGCCCCCTCCCCACTTACCCTGAAACAAGTTCAGTTTATCTGATCTGGGGTTTCAGTCTATTCCCCACTCTGTGCCCAGGGCCTCCAGGCCCTGGGTTTCCGTGGAGGGGTCAGGGCGGGCATCAGAGCAGGGAGCAGAGGAGGTTGGTGCCCCTGACCTGAAGACGGACATGGCCCGGAGTGCCAGGGGCACCCCTGTCGTCACAAATCCTGCCCTTGCTAGTGGCACGTCCCTGACTGCCCTCCCTAAGTTCCCAGGCCAGGCCTTTGGCCTCACAGGGAGGATCCGGGAATTCTCCAGCAGGAAGTTCCTGCCCAGCCAGCCCAGGAACAAAGCCAGGAAAGTGGCCCAGGGACCATGGGGACCTGCTGGGGGGGGGGCTGGGCTGGGGGCAAGTGAGGGGTCCATGGAGTTGACGCAGAAGGAATTGCTACAGAGATGGGGCCAGGACCCCATTCTGCTGCCCCTGGTCATGGCTTTCTGTGCTCAGCGCAGGGCACCTCTGGGATCCTGGGCAGAGGGAGGGGCAGGTTTCTAGAAGGCCCGTCTCTGCCTAATCCCAGTTGGGCTTGAGTTGGGGGGCACACAACCCAGAGCACTTACTGGCCTAGGAAGGGCGCACCCTCATACCTGACTTTGCAGGGATCTAATCTGATGGGCGAGAGGGCAAGAAGTGCAGGCCTGCTTTGGACACTAGGAGGTGCTGTTCTCCAGGAGGTGCTCCTGGCTCCTGCTAGGACTCCTGGTTCCTTCTTTTTTGTGTGGGTTCAAGCTCTAAGTGCCGTGTGTGTGTGTGTGTGTGTGTGTGTGTGTGTGTGCCCGTGCGCGCGCGCGTGTATGTCCGTGTGTAAGTTTGAAGGGGAGAGAGAGAGAGAGAGAGAGAGAGAGAGAGAGAGAAAGAATGGAGCTCACAGTGCCACCATCTCTTTTCAACACAGCTGCTATTTACAGAAGCTTGTCTGGCCTCCATGGGGCCCCCACTGTCTACAGCCCAAGGCCAGTGGCAGAGCTGAAGTTCAAGATCAGCACACAGCGGCCACTCTTAATTATCACTGTGATGGATGACAACAGCTGTTGTTGGATGGATGGCACATGCTTTGGGTGGGGATAGGGAAACCACAGCAAACCAGTTCCCTGGCCCGGCCCAGCCCGGTGATGCTGTGAGTCTCCGCCTCCCACCCCCAGCCTGGGGTGGGGGAGAGCTCACCAGTAGACTGAGGCTTTCTCCTGGGCTTCGTGGCCTGGGTCCCTGGAATCCTTGACTCAGGCTCTGAGCTGGGGGCTGGTGGAAGGCCTATCTGGACGGTCCCCCTGAGTCAGCCAGGAAGCAGCCTTGTGACCATATGACTCACCTGTGCTCTAATTATTTCCTCCCAGAGTGTTGGCTGTTGGAAGGGTGGGGGCCTCGGAGGGTGGCCTGTGGGCTCCCTGGTTGCCTCTGAATCCCTGACCTCCCCTCCCCCACACAGACATATGGACCCCCTGGAGAGGAGACCCCCTTCCCTCCCCCTTTCTGATGGGTCCCCAGACCTTGTGTGGGCAATACCCAGACTGGAAGGGGGAGTCCCTGGGCCCAGAGTACTCCAGGACAGAGCTTCTGCTCCTCTGCTCCCCACCCCCCATTGCCCTCTGGGTAGGGCCAGCCTCGGTTCCTGGGGACAAGAGTTTCTCACCCTTAGACTTCTCTACCCTCAGATGAGGGTAGCAATGAGGGGGCAGAAGCCTGGGTTCTGCGGGTGGGACTGTAAGCTTGTCCATTCCCTCTCTGCTCCTCTTTTCCTTTCTGCCAAGTGAGCATGCCGGCACCTCCCCACTAGGGGTTCTAAGAACCACAGAGAGGAAGATTGGGGGGCTGGGAGGTGTGGCAGCTGGTGCTGGGTCAGCGGAGGAGGGGTCTGTTCTCTGGCATCTGCACAAGGCCTCTTCCTTTTCCCCACCCCTCTGCCCTGGCTGGTTTCTGTGGATGGACCTGGCTTGGACCCTCGTGGGTGATAAGGGCGGGGGTGACATGGCCCAGGGACTGGCTATGGGGGGCACGAGGTCAGAGAGCTGAACCCAGGCTTTTCTGAAAGGCTTCAGGGAACACAGCAGATGCATCTATGGGTCCCCGAGGCTGCCACTTAGATGTACAAACAGACGGGGAGGGCAGCCAGGCCCTGCTGTGCACCCGGGCACCTGGCTCTAAGGCCAGTGGCCTTAGTGAGGGCGCCTCTCTCTAATTTGCTCAAAAGGGCCAAATGGACTGACAGGGGCCTAGTGAGGCCTGCAGGTTTAAGTTAAGCAGTTATGTCACATCTGTCAAGTCTCCCAGGTCTCTGCCACTTTCTGGGTTTCTTCCTCCACCCCCTGTACCTCCATCAGTCTCTCCCTGTTAGTATCTTCATGTTTGTCTCTGTTGCTCTCAGCCCCCTCATAAAAAGGAAGGGAACGGGTGGAGGTGCTGCCCCTGGTCATAGGCAGGCATGAGGGGCCTGCCCCCACCTCTGTAGCACCCGGTTGGTGGTCCCAGGGAAACGTGGGTGACCCTGCTCAGTCTGCTTGCCTGGGGAGTTAGTGGCATCTCCCTCCCATGGGCTGCTGGTCAGGGCCTTCAGGAAAATGCCACCGTGGGCTTTGTCTTGAGTCACTGCTGTCAGGATTGCCTTTCCTGGCGTGAAGGAATGATATGGAGAGCAGAAGGGGGAGACTGGCAGGGTTGGGACCTTAACTCTGGGTTGGGACCTTATGTGACTGCAGAGAGATCCCAAACCTCCCTGAACCTCAGTTTCTACATTTGTGAAATGGGCGAGTCACTGGCTTCTGTTGCAGGTTGAGGGCAGGCCGTTTGGCCTGAAACAAATATTAACTAAACAGCTGCGATACCCTATTCCTGTTCTGGGTGCTAGAGAATGCAGCAGAGTGTGATCTATAAAACTTGGACTTTTTTTAAGCATTTAATATTCCTAGTAGGATAGAAATAAACATAATAAGGAGTGAGTATACTATGAAGGAAGATGGAGCTGGGTAAAGGGTTGCTGCTGTAGATGGGATGAAAAAGGCCTCTCTCATCCTGGTGGGGACCACCAGGCGTGAGGGAGCTGGAGGTTGTGGGGGGAGGGCATTATAGCAGCCAGTACAGCAGCAGCAGGAGCAACAAGTGCAAATGCCCCGGAGCAGAGGCAGCCTGGAAGTTCTGACTAGCTAAAAGGGGGTGAGTGGGAGGGGTAGTGAAATAGGAAGTAAAATCAGGAAAGAGATTATGTGCTTTATTAATCTTTTTTTGGGGGGGGAGGAATTTATTTAATCAAGGTGAGGATGATATAGTTCAGATTTTGAAAGTCTCCCTTGACTGCTGAGTGGGGAAGAGAGGGTGTGTCGGGGGAGGGCAGAAGCAGGGAGGTCACTTTGGAGGCTGCTGGAACTGTGGGGAAGGTCTCACGGGCTGCTGTTATATAAAGGGTACTCCTGGGGGGTGCCGCTTGGCCTATCTTTCTGTTCCTGGTCCACCTCCCACTCCAGCCACAGAAAGTGGAGGGGGCAGCCTGGTGCCTGGAGTTCCCGAAGGGCCTGCTAAGGCAAGTGGAGGACCCATCACACATTGGTGACTGGGGGCTGGGGGAGCAGGGGGAAGGTAGTTGGCACTCGCAGAGTGTGTGGGCTCTGAGGTTCAGTAAAAGCATCTTTGCCACGGCAGCCCCACCCACCAGGAACTCCACCTGGGTGGCAGAGCACACATCTGGGCACCTGGCACCTGGTCCAGGCTTGGGAGGCACCGAGGGCTCTGCAGCCAGGGAGGGCTCCAGATGGAGTTCCGGGCTTCCTCTGCTGGGCGGCGTGATTTCATCTGTCAGGAGACTGAGGATAAAAGATACCTCCCTGCCCTATGAAATTCAGTCAGGGCTGTGGAGTAGCAATAGCAGACCCCTGCAGGAATATCAGGTGATGCTGGTCCCTTCACTCTATGGTTTGGCGAGTCCAGAGGAGGGAGAAAGTCATTCCAATGGAGAGGAATCCAGAAGGCTTTGAAATCCAGAAGGCTTCGGAATCCAGAAGGTTTTGGAGGAGGCACCCTTTGTGATTTGGGCTGGCAGTACGAACAGGAATGTGACAGGTGAAGGAGGGGAAAAGGTATGGCTGTCAGGCGGAGCCCTGTGATGATGGGGACGTGTCCAGGGTGCACATGAGCCCTGCTTCCCACCTCCCTGGCCAAGCTAGACCCCTCTCCGACACCTTCATGTTCAGCCTGCCGTTCATGTTCATCCTCCGCTCCCCGCCAGCCACCCCACTTCACATTTGCACTTACTGCCTTTGCTGGGGCCCCCAGTCACAGGCACATCTTCTGCCCACCACTGCCAGGTCTCCCTGCCTCCCCACCCCGTACAGCTCAGCTCTGGCCCCTCCTCTTCTTTATGTCCTCACAGCTCTCTGCCTGTAGGACTAAGAGATCCACGGGTTTACTTGCTCTCCCCTGCTTGGCAGTGCCCAGCAGGTGGTGGCTGGCACAGAGCAGGCTCAACACACGGTGCTAGACTGAATGAACAGGGGGACATGCAAGAGAAGGGGCCTCAAGGATGGAGCAGGAGACAGAGGCAGGGGACAGACAGCACAGGCCTTTGTATGCCAACCCAGTGGCTTGGCCTTTATCCTCAGGGCAGTGGAAGGCAGAGAGAGCTGTAAAGCTAGGAGAGTGGTGTGGTAAGATGTGGAATAGAGGGCCGGGGGCCAATTAGGAGACTGTCTCAGTCGTCGTAGTGAGAGCTGGTGGGCCTGAGCTGGGACAGCGGCAGATGGCATGGACAGTAGGACACCCGGGCAGTATTCTTAACCAGAGGCAATTCTGCCTGCCAGGGGCTATTTGGCAATGTATGGTGATGTTTTTGCTTTTCACAACTTGCAGGAGGATGCTACTAGCATGGAGTTGGTAGAGATTTCTCTAGAGTCAGAGTAAATGGATTCATACAGGTTCAGTATTGAGAAAAGTGAGTGAAAAATATT